AAACTATTGACAAACAAAACACCTTTTGTCCAACCCTGAAAAATAAACAACATATTTTAAAATTATAATATCTTTATTATAGTTTACCAGTAGATGTATCTTTTTTGTTGTGTAACCCACATTTGTATCCTGACAAGTTGGCGTAGGTGGCGCCCTGAACGGGTGGGGTTCACAGCAGTCCATATTTTGAACATAATCACTGTTGTTTTAAAGTTCACAAATTTGCCAGGGAAACAATGAGTTCTATAGTTATCTTTTTTAGCAGATTTTACTTATCAGCAAAAACAACAAAATTAAAACCCAGTGAATAATTAATGCATTAACAGTGTCATAGAAAAGTTTGACAAAAACTATTGAGAGATGACAGATTATGTGTCAGCACTAGCACTTGCAATTTGCACTTACCAAAAAAAAAAAAAGTCAGGAGAGACAACAGCGACATCCAATGCTCGGAACTGTCGCCTGGCACAAAAACATTTAAAAAAAAAAATAATCATGTGACACTAGTAACCGATCAGAAAGCTTGTCTTAAAAAACCTCACCTGCATATCAATAAATGCATCCTGTTTTCCAGGTGGCGTGTAGGTGCCTTTATAAATCATAGGACCATCATATTTTGCTACATTTGAGATAATCTGCCATTTACTTGATGCCCTCACTCTGGAAGAAATTTAAAAAAAAAACAATTGCAAAGTGTACACAATAATTTACAATTAAAGCATTACGTATCAATATTTCTCAGAATATCAGTTTCAGGTTTGTTCGTGCACATATCTTTCTATTACATCGTTTGGCCTCCAGCACAAGATGTTCTACAACTACTGTCTCAGGGGAATCATTTACATCTGTATGTGACCAATGTCATTTATAACAAGGATGGTAATAACATGACTGTCCACACATGTCACTATTGTGATTTCCATTGGGAATTTCAATCTATAGTACTATGGTGCATACAGTATATGGATTTTTAAATTCCACTTACTTTGCCATACATGGATTTTTAAATTCCACTTACTTTGCCATATATGGATTTTTAAATTCCACTTACTTTGCCATATATGGATTTTTAAATTCCACTTACTTTGCCATATATGGATTTTTAAATTCCACTTACTTTGCCATATATGGATTTTTAAATTCCACTTACTTTGCCATATATGGATTTTTAAATTCCACTTACTTTGCCGTATATGGATTTTTAAATTCCACTTATTTTGCCATACATGGATTTTTAAATTCCACTTACTTTGCCATATGGATTTTTAAATTCCACTTACTTTGCCATACATGGATTTTTAAATTCCACTCACTTTGCCATATATGGATTATTAAATTCCACTTACTTTGCCATACATGGATTTTTAAATTCCACTTACTTTGCCATACATGGATTTTTAAATTCCACTTACATTGCCATACATGGATTTTTAAATTCCACTTACTTTGCCATATATGGATTCTTAAATTCCACTTACTTTGCCATACATGGATTTTTAAATTCCACTTACTTTGCCATATATGGATTTTTAAATTCCACTTACTGTAAAGGGGGTAATTATTCACTGGGTTTTAATTTAGCTTATTTCGCTGACTGGAAAAATGCGCTAAATTAAAACACAGTGAATATGTAAAATTTAGCATAGAACACATTATCTAAATGATAAAACCGTGAATTTAAAACCCACTGAATATGCCTGAAATGGTAAATCAGTGAAATTTAAACCCAGTGAATATTAGTCATTTTACAGTACTTTGCCGTATATGGATTTTTAAATTCCACTTATTTTGCCATACATGGATTTTTAAATTCCACTTACTTTGCCATACATGGATTTTTAAATTCCACTCACTTTGCCATATATGGATTTTTAAATTCCACTTACTTTGCCATACATGGATTTTTAAATTCCACTTACATTGCCATACATGGATTTTTAAATTCCACTTACTTTGCCATATATGGATTCTTAAATTCCACTTACTTTGCCATACATGGATTTTTAAATTCCACTTACTTTGCCATACATGGATTTTTAAATTCCACTTACTTTGCCGTATATGGATTTTTAAATTCCACTTACTTTGCCATATATGGATTTTTAAATTCCACTTACTTTGCCATACATGGATTTTTAAATTCCACTTACTTTGCCATACATGGATTCTTAAATTCCACTTACTTTGCGATACATGGATTTTTAAATTCCACTTACTTTGCCATATATGGATTCTTAAATTCCACTTACTTTGCCATATGGATTTTTAAATTCCACTTACTTCACCATATGGATTTTTAAATTCCACTTACTTTGCCATACATGGATTTTTAAATTCCACTTACTTTGCCATACATGAATTTTTAAATTCCACTTACTTTGCCATACATGGATTTTTAAATTCCACTTACTTTGCCATACATGGATTTTTAAATTCCACTTACTTTGCCGTATATGGATTTTAAAATTCCACTTACTTTGCCATATATGGATTCTTAAATTCCA